CACACTGAGGGTGCAGGGCTGGCTGCAGAGTGGGCACGCACTGAGGGTTCCCCAGCCCAGCAGGGTCCTGAGGGAGCTCCCAGGGCTGTGCCCGCTCCAGCCCCACACTCCATCCCCCTGGAATCACTGCTGGGGGCTCTGGATCTGCCTCACTCTTCCCTCTGTGCTCTCCACAGCCTGGTGCAGGCCAACCCCGAGGTTGCCATGGATTCCATCGTGCACATGACCCAGCACATGTCCCCCACGCAGCGGGCCGAGGTCGTGCGGATCCTCTCCACAATGGACTCTCCCTCCTCCACGTAAGAGCCGGGGCTGCTCCCGGCCCTGCCCGGAGTGGGAACTGCCCTTGGTGTGCTCGGGAGGCTCCGGGAGCTGCTGCAGGGACACCTGCACTGTTCCGGCCCAGAGGGAGCGTGTCCTTCGGCAGGGACACGAGGCAAACGTACAAACACGAGCAGAACAGGGCCCCGCCGGCCTCCTGTACCTTATTTATTGCTCAGAGCGGGGCTGGGCGCTCCGGAACCGCGAGGCCTTGGCGCGGCAGGGCCTGCAGGGACACCCCTGTCCCTCCTGTCCTTCCAGGGACACCCTGCCCCTGCAGGGACCCCCTGCCCTCCTCCCCTGCTCCCCGTGCCCGGCGGCAGCGGCAGCTCCGTGCTGACAAGTGCCAATGTCCCCCCGTGCCCGCCCCTCTGTCACTGGTGATTCGTGTGTCACCCTCTGTCAGTGGTGATTTGATTTGTGTGTCCCACGTCTGTCCTGTCTCCTAGGTAGAGGAAAACCAGCCTTTAGCTGCTGTGGCCGTGCCCCCAGGAGGCTCCCCAGGGCTGTGAAGGGTTTTGGGGGGCAGGATTTTGGGGGCTGTACCCCCCTGGCTTTGCCTTTGTGCCCAAGTCCTTTAGAGCAGGCTGTGAATTTTGTGAAAGGCCCTTCTGGGAGGGGGCACAAGAGACCAAAGTGCAGCTGCTCAGCGTTTCTGCTCTCCCTCCCGTGATGTTTTCAGGGCTAACAGTGCTCATCCCTCCCTGAGGGCAGCTGAGGTGAGGCAGGAGAAGGGACAGAGCCAAATCCCCCAGTGGGGCTGGAACTGCAGAGGGAAATCTCAGTCTGAGGATCTGAGGAGAGCTTTCTCCATCATCCTGCCCTGCCCCAGAGCTGCCTGGGCATGGCTGGGAGGGGCCACTCTTACCTGGAATGTGACAAATGTTGGGTTTGGAATCTCATGGCAATGGTCAGGAGGAACTGGGTGGCAGCTGCCCAGGTCCCCCCAGGCCAGCCCACATCCCCAACTTCTTTGTACATGTTTTTTATGTAATAAAAGCTCCAAGAAGCTGCAGTGCTGGAGGGAAGCACAGCCCAGCCCTCACACACAGCTCCTGCACAGGGCTGGGCTCTCCGGGCTCACCAGTGATGGTCCTGGAGCAATCTCAGATTTCACAGCCCCTCCTTAGTCCAGCAGGAAGGGCTGCAGGACAGAAGTGTGGTACAGAAGGGCTGTTTGAGGAGAGAATGAATCAATGATGCTGCCAGTGCCTCTCCCCTGTCCGTGTTTGCTCCTGAAGTGCAATGCAGCCCTTCTGCCAGTGCTGCCAGTGACTGGAGGTGCCAGCCCGGGGCCGCTGCTCCCCTGCCCGTGGCCAGCAGAGCTCGGCCACCCGCAGGACTTGCTTTTTCTTAATAGTTAAGAACCCTAATTTGATTCAAGAGATTTTTTGTTTTCCACTAGAGCCCCCTGAACAAGCCCCAAAGACGCTTTTGCTTACGCCAGGGTGGGCTGCAGCAGGACACACAGACAGAGAATGTGTCAGCCAGGCAGGACCGGGCCTGGTGGGCTCTCCCTGTCCCCAGGATGCCCCGTGGTGGTGCCACCCGAGTCCCTTTTGCAGGACCTGTGTGGGAGGGTCCCTGTGCCCACAGAGCAGCCGCCACTGCAGTGTTACAGCACCGGCTCAGGCCTGGCCTCACCTGGGGCTGCAGCAGCTCCAGAGCATCCCTTGGGTGGCACCGGGGGGCTCTGGGCCTGCTGGGGCTGTGGCAGCAGCACCTGAGATGGCCCCAGGTGGGTTTGGGGGGGTCACCGGGTGGGGGGAACCCCCTGGGTACGAACGGTTCTCGCTGGTGCTGAAGTATTTCACTTACCTCAATTTCTTTTAATAAAAAGAATGAATTACAGCTCTGCTGCTGCTGTGAGTGCAATCTGTCACCCCTGGCCTGGGGAGCTGAGCTTTGCCTGAGGCCAGGACTGCAGAGAGGCTCTGTGGGACCCTGCCCTGAGGTCCCAGCTCATCCCACAGCTCTGCCCCATCCCAGGTGTCCCCAGGTGTCCCCAAGCCCGATGGTGGCCTCTCCCCATTCCCATCTTCAACATCACAGTCAATGGGACAGGCAGGGAGAAAACCCCAAACCCCAGTGGCTGCTGCTGAGGTGGGAGAACCTTGGGGCCCTCCTGCAGGGCTGTTTTTGGGCAGGGAAGGCTGCACTGGATGATCTTGGAGGCCTTTCCCAGCCTAATTCGTGCCCTGCTCAGCAGGAAAGGCCCAGCAGGATAAAGGATGGCCCTGGGAGCTGATGCACAAACACCTTTGGAGGTGTCCCCATGAAAGGTGAGATTTAAATGTGCCCACATGAGCCACCACAACTCCAGCAGTTGATTTTTGCACATTTCTCAAACCAGAATCCTGATAGTTAAAATTTGGGGGGTGGTGAGGGGACAGACCCTACTGAACTCCAGCATCACGTTTAAAACTCTTTAGCCTAAAATATCTCCCTATTAAAATGCCAAGAAAAGACATACCAAAGCTGTAAGCTCTCCAAAGCCCAAGATCAAAGTGCCATCATCTTTTAATGTAAACCTTTTGTTGCATCAACAGTCTTAAGAGGGATGAGAGACATCAAAATAAAAACTGAGACAAACTGGGGCTTTGTAGCTGTTTTTTGTTTTAGTCTCTTCTCTCAATTTGGGCCATGAAATAGGTCAGCTCCATTACTGATCAGCCTTCCCACAAATATTTAAAACAAATTGAATTGCACACCCAATACCCATCACAATTACGCCAGGCACAATAACTAAATTAGCAATTCAACAAAATAATTGGAAATGCGATTCTCTCCATTCCAGAGCCTCCCCCGGGGCCCTGGCCGATCTATGGGGGGAAAACTCTGCTTTACTAATTCTGCAGCTAATTAGAGACACACTTGTAAATGAAGTTGTTTGTCTGAAAGTTGAAATTCTTGGCTGTGGCAGGGTTGGGGGGAGAGGATTAACACAACCCTCTGTCCCTCCCTGTGCACAGCCCATCCCCAAAACACCTCCAGTGCTCTGCCAAGGTGCAATGCCCGTTTGTGGAGGTACTAATTAGCAGCTGGATCATGAATTAATACAGAATTAATATTCTGTTGGGGGGGGGGAAGAAGGGAAGATCTCACTTGCTGTTAATTGGCAGCTTTAGGAAAACTTGGTGGAGATCACCCTGGTGCTTTCTGTGTGCCCAGGGAGCTGTGCCCGTGCTGGGCACCATCACCATCACCTGGGGACACTGTGGGGGTAAAGCAGCTCCAAAATATCTGTTGGATTTTTGGGGAGGCGCTGTCCCCTCTGCTCCTGCTGTGCCACCACGCCAGAGCCCCTCGGGGCTGCCCTTTGCCAGCAGCACTTCCACACCAGCAGTGTGTGAATCCCTTTTCCTGCAGCATTTCCACACCAGGCACTGTGTGGATCCCTTTTCCTGCCCTTTTCCTGCAGCCTCTGGACACCAGGCACTGTGTGAATCCCTTTTCCTGTTCTTTTCCTGCAGAATTTCCACACCAGGCACTGTGTGAATCCCTTTTCCTGCAGCATTTCCACACCAGGAATGTGTGAATCCCTTTTCCTACAGCATTTCCACACCAGGAGTGTGTGGATCCCTTTTCCTGCCCTTTTCCTGCAGCACTGCACACCAGGCAGTGTGTGAATCCTTTTTCCTGCA